CTCTTGCTATTTTTTAGAACACTGTCTTCATCTTTGATTTTGACCAATCTGGCTATGATGTGCCATGGAAAGGATCTCCTTATGTTGATTCTATTTGAGGTTCTTTGTATTTCTTGAGTCTGGATGTCTGTATGTTTCTCTAAGTTTGGAAAGCTTTCTGCAAGTATTTCATGGACAAATCTTCAAAGCCCTTGTCTGATTTGTTGCCTTCTGGAATACTTACTTGGGTATTTGGGCATTTAATGGTGTCTAGTATTTTCTAAATGTTGTCTTCATTTGTTTGTTGTTGTTACTTCATCTTTTTTGGTGACTTTATCTAAGAGATTTTGTCTTCCAAATCAGCGATTTTGTCTTTTGTGAGGTCCAGTCTGCTATTAACACTTTCAAGGGAAGACTTGATTTCCTGTATTATAGTCTTCATCTCTAGAAGTTATGTTTGATTCTTTTTTTAATGGGTCTATTTCCTCCTTCAAGTGGTAGAAGGACTTCCTCATCTCCATCACTATGAATATTCTGAATTCTTTCAGACTTTTTGATAAATTATTTTGTACTGTCTATGGTTGAAGAAGGATTTCTGTTTTCCTGAGGGAGAGCTATTACATTACCCTGTTTTTCCACATTTCTTGTGCCTCAGTACTGATTTCTAGTCATCTGATGAAATTTACACTTCTTCCTACTTTATGGTGTTGATTCTGTAGCATGAGGAAGAAGAGTTGTATTTCTCAGGAGTGTTCTTGGGGGAGGGGCTTGTCTTCCAATCAGAGAAGGGTGAATGTAACCAGCTTTACGTGTTGGTTCCTTTCCCAGTCTCTTGGGAGCAGGTGCACTTGAGGCTGAGCTGGAGATTCAACTGAAGGAGGAAGTAGTTCTGCAGTATGTGTAGTGCACCGTGTGGTTCACCAAGTTATGAAATCGCAAAATATTCTTGGGCACGCAGGACCAGGAGGTCTAAGGCAGTTCTTCTGCCTTAGTTCGTTTCCCTCACTGCTGCTGGTCCCTGCAACATAGAGAAGACTGAGGGTTTACTCGCTTCTAGAGTGTTTTAAAGCCAATCCCAGACACATTATTTTATCCCTGATACTTCAGTATATATCTAAAAAATACACATTTTGGTCCTTGTGTAGCAAGCAGTAGGGCACTTTTGGGTGATGCTGAAGCCATGTGGGAAGGCTGAGTTTGAAGAAGGAGGGAGGAGATCACGACATGGCAAGACTGTGTCAGAAGTTCCTGTCTATCAGTCAACCAATTTAAAACACACAATGCCATTTTCCAGTGTCTAAAAAAGTCTTCTTATACTTTATTCCTGTGACACAAATAGGGTCTACCACTTGTGGTCTCTTTAGATCTAGAACAGTCTCCTTCTTCAATTATTCCCTTTTTAATGCCAACATTTCAGAAACTAAGTTGGTTGTCCTATAGAAATGAACCCCATTTTAAATATGTCTGATTTGCTTCTCCCTCGTGGTGTATTTCCACCCTACTTATTTCCTAAACACTGGATACCAGATCTAAAGCTTTGATTAAATTTGAGTCTTTTCATTGTTTTGTTTTGCTTTTAAATTTTGGTGAGGGGGCAAGAATACATTATATATATATATATATATATACATACAGTACATAAGTAGACATATGATGTCTGGTTATCTCATTCTAACTGTGAAGATTGTTCAGTCAGTTTAATAGGGTAGGCCTTCATTATACATTTTTTCCAATCTCACCTAATGATTTTACAACCATTGAGGACATTGCTTCAACAGTTATTTTATTAGTGTGGTTGCAGTTTTTCAAATTTTAGCATTCCTTCTGCATTCATAAACTGGCATTTTTAAAAATGGTTTTTGCCATAAGGCGTGTGTACTCACTGGAGAGAAAGAGAAAAACAGTGAGAGGAAAACTGAGAAATCACTCCCCAGGAGGGATGGCCATGCTGCAATCCATTCTCCTCCTGGGATTCTGGGTCAGCACTCTAACCAGTAAACCACCTGCTGGTCCCAAAAACTTGAAATTCTTTTAAATAGAATGATCCTTCACTAGAGCTATTGACTTTGCATTAATTAAATTCATACAAAAAAAGAACAAAATACATTTGCATTACTTTAAATTATAATTTTTCAGAGTATTGAGTTGTCATTTTAGCAACTTACGGTAGGTAGCATTCAATGTTTTGCTGAACTTTTGTCTCCCCTCACCTCTGCTGCCTTTTTTCACTATTATGAATTTCCTATAATGTGCTTTTATCAAGTTCAATAGCCATTCTTTTTTTTTTTTTTTGGAGAGGTTTTTGCTATAGGGCGCGTGTGCTCGCCAGAAAGACAGAGACAGACAGAAAGCTAGAAATCACCCCTCAGGGGGGTGGCCACGCTGCAATCCCTTCTCCTCTTGGGATCTTGGGCACACACGCACATGCGCCCGGCATGAGTTTTGAGCCACCGGGTCCGGGACTCAAACCACAGTCGACTACGTGGGAGTCCAGTGACATAGCCGTTACATTAACTGCTGGTCCCTGTCCTTTTGATATAATTACATTAGTTTTTTTTATTATGTCCTTGGTTTATTTTAGAGATTTTTTTTTTTTTGCTACAGGGCATGTGCGCTCACCAGAGAAACAGAGAGACAGAGAGAAAGTGAGAAATCACCTCCCAAGAAGGATGGCCACACCGAAAGCCCTTCTCCTACAGACTCCTCTTAGGATTTTGGGCACGCGCACACACACACCCACACACACACAAACACACACACACCCATACCTAGGTATGGGCCACAAACTGTGATCAACTACATGGGAGTCCAGTGCCGTAATCATTACACCATCTGCTGGTCCTATGTTCTTACTTTTTGGGACAATAAAATGTCCCAGATTTGCCTTGTTTATATCCTTGAAATCAGCCATGTCTCCAAAGAGCCCTAGTTCCTTTGACCAGGTAACAGTATTTAGAAACCACTATCTGGATGTTAGACGTGCTCATTGCTGATGAGTTGTCATTGTTTCAGGGCATTTTCAGTGGTAAGAAATACAAAATTTTGTTATGGAAGAATGAAAAAAGCACAAGTTAGTAATAGTATTTCTAAGTGAAATTTAAAATTGCAGAAGTTTTTAAAAATCTTTTTGGATTTATAACTGTATGCCTTTACTCTTATGTAGAAAATATTGCTTAAGTCAAAATAAAATAGCTTTATTCGGTCTACAGAACCATTTCAAATTAACCACATCAATATTATAGTAGCAATAAGAATAGTCAGTGAAAGTTTAAGATTTCTTTTTTTGTTTGTTTGTTTTGTTTTGTTTTTTTTTGAGAGGTTTTTGCTATAGGGCACGTGTGCTCGCCAGACAGACATAGAGAGACAGAAAGCGAAAAATTACCCCCCAGGGGGGATGGCCACGCCACAATCCCTTCTCCTCCAGTCTCCTCTCAGGATCTTGGGCACGCACGCACACGCGCCCGGCGTGAGTTTTAAGCCACCGGGTCCGGGACACGAACCGCGGTTGACTACGTGGGAGTCCAGCGACATAGCCATTACGCTCACTGCTGGTCCCGGTTTAAGATTTCTTTACAATTCTTTTTAGTTTTATTGGGTCATTGAAAAAGTCATGATGTATTTTTGTTTTTCCGTGCAAAAAAAAGTGTCATGACTTTTCTGATGACACAAAACAATACATCCTACTGAAATGGGTGAGCCAGATAATTATTTGGTAGGAGGTTCAAAATACTAAAATAATAATCTAGGAAATACAACAAAGACTGTCAAGGTGCCACATTATAAACCACAGCATAAACTGCCTATTGAATAAAACTTCCATCCTCCATTCAAATGACATTGTTGGGTGGCTCCTCTACTTTAGCAGTTAAAAAAAAATGTTATCATGGGACCAGCAGATGGCATAGTGGTTAATGTCCTGGACCAGGCAGCCTGAAAGTCTTACTGGGCACGTGTGTGTATGCCCAAAATTCCAAGAGAATGGAGAAGGGACTGTAGCATGGCCATTCTCCCCTGATGAGTGATTTCTTTCTCTCCAAAGAGCACATGTACCCTGTAGCAAAAATCTCTCTCAAACAAAAAACAAATTAAAAAAAATTATCTTTAATGCTATCAGTAAGTTCTGTGACACCCTGTCATCCTTCAGCCGACTTTCAAATTGTGGTCCTATAACAATCTATCTCAGGATTACTTGAAACAGTTGTTAAAATGCAGATTTCTGGGTTTATCCCTTCAACAGTCAGATATTACCTAAGAGCCTAAAAGGTTTATCTCCTCCAACCAATCAGATTTCATATACTCTAACTAATGCAGAAGCTGACATCTAAAAGGTATCATTGAAAATAGGAGAATGGGGGAACCAGCAGTTAGCGTAATGGCTATGTCGCTGGACTCCCACGTAGTTGACTGCGGTTCGCATCCCAGACCCAGTGGCTTAAAACTCACGCCGGGCGCGTGTGCATGCGTGCCCAAGATCCCGAGAGGAGAATGGAGGAGAAGGGATTGCGGCGTGACCATCCCCACTGGGGGGTGATTTCTCACTTTCTGTCTCTATTTTTCTCTCTGTCTGGCGAGCGCACGCGCCCTATAGTGAAAACCTCTCAAAAAAAAAAAAAAAAAAAAAAAAAAA